TAAATAATATATCGCGACTATCACGGCACATCACTTCACCTATACATGTTCCGGCAACTACCTATAAATAGATGGAAGTTTGACCCGTGTCAAAGGTTGGGAGGTGGCTGACGATTCGGGAGGTGGCTGCGGGTTGACGAAAGGGAAAAGCGCACTGGCGTTTGCCCTGACAGGCATGATTGGAAGCCTGCCTCTTTAATGATCGAAATAATGTCGGTGGGGTCGTAAGACGTCTACAGTTACATTTTAAGAGAGACAGAGAGAGACAGAGAGAGAGACAGAGAGAGAGAGACAGGGAGAGAAATAGAGAGAAAGACAGAGAGAGAGAGAGAGAGAGAGAGAGAGAGAGAGAGAGAGAGAGAGAGAGATTCAGACAGTATTTCACTCGGAGCATTTTATTTTTGTACTGTTACTATGATTTTCAAATGTCGGAACTTGAAGGAACATAAGGCCGGTTTCAAAGAGTTGAGAAACGCCTTTTCGTTATTCACTTTAATAATAATAATAAAAGATAGCATTTGTATAGCGCATATCCCCGCTCAGCAGCAGGCTCTATGCGCTTTACACTATATTATTACCCCAGCAGACCATAGAACACTCCGAAACATTCTCAGCTTCCCGGGAAGCATACAGTCTGACTCTTTATCAAAGCATATCCGAAGTAGATAATTCTGGTGAACAAATTTCATACTTTTCCTTCTTCCTTTCTATTTTTCACCATTTTTTATAATTGTTTTACGGCGCTCGCAGCCGCACAAGTTCATATGGGCACGCAGGACACTTTTTCAGTTTGATAGGAATTACATGTAATTTTGAATCTTGCCCTCGTAGTGGCCGAAGCCTGCTCTTATCGAATTTAGGAGCACCAGTGGATCTTTAACGCACGCACGGGACCTCCGAGATTTTTTCTTCCTTATCCAAGAAGGCTAGGGGTTCGATTTTACCTACCCTGAGATCAGTGGTGTAGCTGAAAGACAGCTGTAAGGAGGAGCCAAGCAGAAGCAGTAGAAAGGCAGCAGAAAGTCAGGAGTCCAGATGAGGAGGCAAAGGGATAGTGTGGGGGACAGTGCAGAAAATGGAGACGAAAGCAGACGACAGAACATGATCAGAGAGCAGGAAAGGAGAACATCTTTATGAGAGAAGAATATTTTACGTCGCTATCAGGTTTCAAACCCAGGACCTATAGAATGACAGTCAATCACCTTACCTCTAGACTACCAGAACCCGAAATTGCTTTTCCTTCTGGCAAAAGCTGATGAAATGTTGGAACCACTTGGTTACATCTCTAGACTTATTCTCGAGACAACTCCTTCAGGAACAAAGGCCCAATGTTGTCAAGAAACTGGTCCTCAAGCTGATGGATGAGGTAATGGGGTCCAGTAAATCTGACACTATTAGTTTGTAACATCCCTGACTATGAAAGAGGCATGTTATCAAAGAGTGTCGTTAAGCTGAAAACTACACCACGGATACGGAACCTTTAGGCGACTGTAGGAAATCTGCAAAGGAAAGGCGTGCAGAGCTGGAGTGTCAGCAGTGAACAGAAAACACCAAAAGAAAATGGCATTGCACTTGGGCTCAAAGGGTAAAGTTGGACTCTACCCTGGCTGTTTTGAGGTGTACAACTCAACAGCTGACTCAACCGATGCTTGGGTATATTGAGATGTTCACAAAGCTGCTCGCAACAGCACAATTTTCACTCGTTCGGTTGAATTTTCTGAAACTTTTATTTGAATTACATGTACGTATATTTATCACGGATCTCGCCTGTCTAAATAGGTGTTAAAATCATTGAAGAAATACCATTGAACTATTAATGTATGTATCGGGGTGTAACATTTGTTTCGAAAAAGGTTCCTTTTTTCAGCGTCATACCCTATTTTGTACTGTTGACAACTTTTGTTAAAGAAAGTGAATATGGACCTGTCTGTGTTGACAGAGATTTGAACTTTGCTTTGACACCAAATACAAACGTCTCTGATTTAAAACAATGGAGATTCATTTCTTTCAAAACTCCCCCAAATCACGCGTTTCCAGGGAAAAGAGCACATAAAATATTGGCGTTCTTAGGGAATGCGCACCGTGAAATCTGCACGATGCGAAAAGTATATCATTAATTTGTTTAAGAACTTCTTCTTCCAAGTTCGTGTTGGATTCTGCCTCTCAGACCCCCTGGAACAGGAGGAAGGTGTTCCCTAGGGAAGCATCCTTTCTCCTCTTCTGTTTGAAAAAAAAAAATTCTGTCGTCTAGACCCCCCAAAGTAGCATAGACAGGTCGTTAAACGTTGACGATTTCCTGCGGTTTTAAAAATCCTCTAATAGGATCTATGGAAAGGAAGCAGCAAACGCAGCTGCACAAACGTGAAAAGTGGGAAAACGAAAACGGTTTCAAGTCATTCCTGTCAAAGATGGATGCAGTACACTTCTGCCGATCAGGATGACGTGTGCTGCAACCGGCTCTGACACTATACAGGGAAAGAATTCCCGTCCAAGACCAGGCTCTTTTTCTCGGAATATTTTTCAAGAAACTCACATTCATCCCACGTATAAAAGACCTTCGTGTGAAGTGCCTGAAAGCAATAAACGCTTAGATTTTTTTGATCGCAACTGCAGTGGGGCGGAGACTCAAAACACCTTCTCCCCATATACTGTTCCCTTGTCCGATCCAGGCTTGGCTACAGCTGTCAAATCTATGGATCGTCAAAACCCCACGTCCTGAGAATGCTACACCCGGTACAAAACAAAGGACTCCGCGAGACTAGCCATGGGGCTTTCCGCACCTCTCCGATGGAGAGCCTCCAGGCCGAGGCAAACATACCATCACTGACACTCAGACGCACTATCACTACAGTACGCAATTAAACAGAACTCAACAACAGAGAACCCAGCTCAAGATTGCATATTTGGAACACACCTAGACACAATAAATAAATTCAAAAACAACGAAAAACTCATCAAACCTTTCGACCCCAGAGTCTCCGAGGACCTAAAAAAAATGTACACTTTTCCAAACAAGATATCGGGCAATGTTTCCCCCCGACCTTCCTCTGTGGCACTCACTAGGGCGAAAATACACTTACAACTAACCACACACAACAAAGCAAGCACAAACACCTTAACATTTTCAAAGCAACATACAAAACACTAAATACAAAATACCCCAGTGCAGAGCTTATCTTCACATATATGGCTTTAAATCAAACTCAGCTGAGGGTGCCACCGCCCTGTCCTCTAACAATACACACCAGAAGAGACTCCACCACAGACCTTCCATTTTTCTCTGCAGTGGCCACCGCCGTTGACATGGCGTTGGAATCCGAAGAAAATTCCCCTAACACATCTTTCCTTGTTCTGTCTGACTCTCTGTCGTGCACAACCTCACTCACAAATCACACAATCATACATCTAAAAATAGGTTGCAACAATAAATACACGCTTTGACTGAAACCGAAAAAATGTATCGAGTCCACATGTTTACATGGCCATATGGGCATCCGAATAAACACGCAGGTCGAGCTCATGGCAAAAGAATCCTTGTCCCTTCTATTGGGATGAACGAGGAACACTAAACCACAGACTGACTTTAAAAACCCCCCACAAAACCCCCCCACTAAACCTCCAGTCTGTGGGAGACACATCGGAGTAAACAAGTCAACAACAGACTCTTCAACATCATGCCCAAACTGGGTCCACGAAAGCCTTTGGGCCTCCGCAGATGAGATGAAGTCGTCTTTACTCGATTGCGTATCGGACACACCTTCCTGACACAAAAATACCTCCTGCACAGAGATGAGAAATCGTACTGCGTCAGATGCAACACAAATTTCACCATTAAACACATCTTAACACACAAACACACACACACACACACACACACACACACACACACACACACACACACACACACACACACACACACACACACACTCAGACAGAGAGAGAGAAAAAAAAGAGAGAGAGAGACAGAGAGAGAGAGAGAGAGAGAGAGAGAGAGAGAGAGAGAGAGAGAGAGAGAGAGAGAGAGAGAGAGAGAGAGAGAGAGAGAGAGCGCTCACCATCCTGTTCCAGCGTTTCTATCATACAACGGTCCCATTCCGGGTTGGTGGCCTGACAGTCTTTGATGTAGGTGTCTGTGATACCCTTGGAGTCGTTGACAAAGCCCCAGTAGTCTGTGACACAGCTGTCGTCCTCGATCGTGGTCGCGCACTGGAAACACTTCAGGCTGCTACTGCCTGCAGATTTAAAATGAGGTGAGTGAAAGTCGGCAAGGAAATGAATAGCTTATTCGTGGTGTGATGTTATGACGAGAAGTCGACGATTAGACTATAATAAGTAAATTGATAGCCATGTTTTGAAATTGAAGTGCCACAGCATCAGACTATGGATTGTGTACTATCAGGTGCATGTATGACCATACTAATATAACTAATGATACAATCACATTAATAATAAATTCCAGTTCATTTAATCCCTTGGAAAATTTGTTTAACAAAGCCGTACTTAAATACTCAAATACATCAATACACCAGTTAAAACATAAATCTCTCTCTACCTCCCTCTCTCTCTCTCTCTCTCTCTCTCTCTCTCTCTCTCCCTTCCTCTCTCTCTTATGTATGTCATAAACTTTACTTTAATTTCACTTTGTCATCATCTGTTGCCGTTAGGCGTCGAGGGGAGTTGCCGCTTTCTATGGTAGGCCAGCTCCGCAGCTCTTTCACTTGTGATATTATGTTTTCTCAGGGTTTCCTTGGCACCATCGATCCACCTTTTTGCGTGTCCTTCCTCTTCCTTTATAGCTTGGTGTTGTAGGCTCTCGGGCTGGCTGGCCAGGTGACATACATAATAGGTGGCCAAACCATTTTATTCTCTGTCTTTCTATGTAATTCAAGCAGGACTCAGTGCCGACAGCCGCTCTCACTTTTTCATTTCTCTGCATGTCTCGTCTTGTGATGTTAAGGGTTTTGCTGAGACATAATTTCGTTTCGCATGCAGTGATTTTGCTTTCACGGGTTTCACTTAATGTCCAGGTCTGGCACCGGTAGCATGATGTTGGTATGAATATTGAGGTGAAAAGCTGTCTCTTTGTGTCCATTGAGATGTTTGGATGAGATAGGAGGGTTGCGAGCTGGTAGGTGACAGCGCTGGCTTTTTTGAGTTCGCATCTCTATTTCTCTGTCTTTGGACCTGTTTTCAGAAAAAAGTGCTGCCAAGATATTGAAAATCCACCACGTGTTTTAGTTGTTTACTATTGACATGTTCAGGGTACTACAGTTTCGGCTCACTTTCCTAACTTCTGTTTTTGGTGTGCTTATTTTCATGTTAACTTTCTCGAAGCTGTTGTTCAGTTCAGTTTGGAGGCTTTGTTGGTTTAGATGGATAAGACATTGGTCGTCTGCGAATGGAAGTTCTTGGTGTGCGTCTTACGTTATTGTGTCCATATATATTATAAACAAGAGGGGAGATAGAACTCATCCCTGTCGTACCCGAAATTTTACATGACACAAGTCTGTATTGCCTTCCTTCGTTCTTACTGAGCTTTTGCTGTTGGTATATAGAGCTCTGACATTATTTAAGATTTGTCCTCTGACGCCATACGTTTCGAGTGTCTTCCTGAGTTTTGCATGGCTTACTCTGTCAAAAGCCTTCTCCTGGTCTATAAAGACGATGTTGGATTATTTGTTGTGTTCGATTGTTTTCTCGCATATCTGTTTTTATGCCAATATTGCATCCATCCTTTCCGAATCCAAACTGAGCTTTGGTCAGATTTCTCTCTGCAATAGGTTTTATCGCGGTTCTAATATCATTGCGTAGTATTTCTGTGCGTGGATTAACAAAGAGATGCCTCTCTATGCTGTGCAGTCGCGTTTGTTGCCTTTTGTTTTCCATAATGGGGCCACTATGGCTTTATGCCAGTCTTCTGGGCATTTCCTTTGTTCTCAGGCTCTATTGAAAATTCGCTTCAGCCACAGTACACCAGTGATTTCACAAGATCTTATAGCTTCCATTGTGATGTCAACTGCTCCTGAGCTTTGTTCTTGGGGCTGGTTTTGAGTGCCTTTTCGATTTCACTGAGAAGTATGGGTCGTTCTGTTCGCTCTCCATATGGTGGTTGGAACTCTTCTTGCTGTCTGTGGCAAGCGTCTGGATGAGTAGTTCTTGGATGTAATTTTCCCATTTTTTCTTAATAGCATGCTTGCTGAGACTGGCATTGCCCTCTTTATCGTTTATAATGCATGTTGGGTTGTATGGGTCTTTCCTTACCCACATGCTGTTTATACTTTTATAAAACTCTCTCAGGTTTTCCTTGCAGGTTTTGGTCAGTTTCGCACTACGACAGTTTGTCCCGGGACAGACCCGTCTGGAATTTGAAACCTTTGACTTAGAGTGTAATGTACCGCACCTATTACGACTGGACATTCTCGTCGATTTGAGTCCGGAGCAGTTGTGAATTACTACAAAATCGGAGGGACAGGACTATCTCAGTCCCGGGCATATTGTCTGTGTTAATACATTTAGAGAAAAATAGCCGCCTACCGTATTAGGACTAAACTGTTCCAGACTTGGTGGCGGCTGCTGTCAGGATCGCGGGCTTGTGCTTTGTAGCGTATAATCATTTAAAAATTTGCGTCGCGCAGGATAAAACTTAGGGGGCGCCACATTTTAAAAATAATTATTGCATCTCAAAACTGATTTCATATTCGGAATCAACGTCTCAAAATAAGCAAAATGGCTCGCGAGGCACCTCATTTGAAGCGTTACTTTGCACATTCTAGCAAATTTTTAAAATTTGTAAATTGATCGTCACTGGTGAAGTTGTGTGTCAAGGTCATCGGGTGAAACACACACGCACACACACACACACACACACACACACACGCACACACACACGCACTCACACACAAACACTCACACAAATATATATGTTAACTTCGTAATCGGGTATTAAAGTGCGTTCCCTACGTGATGTTTGCTTTTTTTGGGTCGCTGATCACGAAAATCTTATTATTTTTTTTATTTGAACAATATTTAGGAATTTTTTAAATTGAATTTTTAATCCCACCGTGGGCAACAACCAAAAAGCGGTGTTATGCGCTGGATCAGTCCTGTCCTAGTGCGGTATCTGTTTTGAGGCGCAAAAAATCGACAGTGGGACAGGACAATCCTGTCCGAGACAAGAATGTCGCAGTGTGGTACTAGCCTTATCTGTCAGCTTGCTGTAGTTGCCTCTCTTCTTTATGTCTGGCAAGCCCTTGATTGCTATTTTCTTACTTTCCATGAAATTCACTATTTATTCTGGTCCGTTGTCTCCAAGTCCGCTGATATTCCATGTGCCTATTTTAATCGTTGTTCTAGCTCGCTGTCCGTTTACTTTTCCTGATCTTTTTCCGTTTGAATCAGTCCGTGTGTTCTCTTTTGTTTGTCTAGTAGCATGATTTGTCCGGTTTCACCAGAGCCCCTTTAGGCTAATACTGCACTACGACAGTTTATCCTGGGACAGACTCGTCTGGATTTTGAAACAATTAGAGTGTAATGTACCGCACCTATTACGACAGTACATTCTTGTCGATTTGCGTCCCGAGTAGCTGTGAGTTGCTACAAAAAACTATCCCAATCCCGGGGTAATATCGTCTGTGATTATAGAGAAATATATCCGCCTACTGCATTAGGACAAAACTCTCCCAGAGTTGGTGGCGCCTGATGTCAAGATCGTGGGGCTTGCGCGTTGTGACGTAGAGTCACTTCAAAATTTGCAGCCTCGCAGGATTAAACTTTGGGTACAAAATTTTAAAAATAATTATCATATCTCAAAATCGATTTCATATTCGGAATCAGCGTCTCAAAATAAGCAACATGGCTCGCGGAGAACCTGATTTGATGCGATACTATGCAAATTTTAGTAAATTATTTTAAAAAAAAATTTGTATCGTGAATGGCGAAGTTGTGTATCAATGTCACCCCGTGAGACACACACACACACACACACACACACACACACACACACACACACACACACAGACATACACACGTACACACACACACACTCACACACATACAAATAAATAATTGAACTTCGTAATTGGGAATTAAATTGCGTTCCCCGCGTGATTTTTACTAATTTTGGGTCGCTGATATCGTAAATCTTATTATTTTTATATTTGGACAGTGTTTAGGAATTTTTTAGAAGGCGTTTTTAACCTCGCCGCGGGCAAGAACTAAAAAGCTGCCCTATGGGCCGGATCAGTCCTGTCCTAGTGCGGTATCTGTTTTGACATGCAAAAAGTCAACGAGGGGACAGGACAGTCCTGTCCGAGACAAGAATGTCGTAGTGCGGTGGCTAGTACCGCACTACAACAGTTTGTCCAGGGACAGAACCGTTTGGATTTTGAAACATTTGAATTAAAGTGTAATGTACCGCACCTACAAGGACAGGACGTTCTTGTCAATTTGAGTCCCAAGCAGGTGTGAGGACTATCCCAGTCCCGGGGTAATATCATCTGTGATTATAGAGAAATATAGCCGCCTTCCGCTTTAGGGTAAAACTGTCCCAAACTTGGCGGCCGCCTGTTGTCAAGATCGTGGGGATTGCGCGTTGTGACGTATAATCAATTAAAAATTTACCACCGTGCAGGATTAAACTTTAGGCAAATTTAAAAAAAATTATTATGGCATCTCAAAACCGATTTCATATTCGGAATCAGCGTCTCAAAATAAGCAAATTGGCTCACGGGAAACCTTAGAAAAGCAGTAAACAAGACCAGTTGAGACAAAATTAGAAACCCTGTAATCCGAGAAATAGCGGGCACAAATGATATCATGCATCACATCCAACACCAAAAAATCAAATGGTTCAGACATCTCTTACGATTACCGACACACCATCCAGCACAACGTGCCTGCATCCCAAAATTCGATGGCAACAAGGCTAGAGGGCGACCGAAAAAGACCTGGATAGATGGAGTCAGGGAAACACTAACCATCCACGGCATCCCCCTGAACCAAGCTCTCCGGCTGTCGACAGAGAGACGTCTCTTTCTTCCCGGGACACCCAAAAGGGTATAAGTAGGCGGCGGATAAAAGTAAAGTAAAGTAAGTAATTCTTTGCTCTAATGTCTTGTTCGTGGTCCATGTTTGGCATTGATAAGTGAGTGTTGGGATGAATATGGTGTTGATCATTTTGAGTTTTGTTGTCATGGGGATGTTAGAATGTTTCAGTTTTGGAGTAAGCTGGTAACTATATTATTGGCCTTTTGTACTCGTGTTTCAATTTCTCTGTTCAGTCGCCCATCCTCTGTGAATATACAGTCTGAGACTGTTGTTGTTGATGTGTATCCTGAATGGTTCTGGCTTTCTGCTTACTTTCATTGTCTCTGTTTTGTAGATGTTGATCTTCATGTCGTAGTTGTTACATTTTTCGTTTAATCTGGTGGTGAGGTGTTGGAGACTTCGTTCATCTTTGTGTGACAGGCCCTGGTGATCAGCGAAGAGTAATTCATTTAGGGCATCTGGTTCTGTGTTGGCCTCTTTTGTAATTCTATTCATATATATGATAAATAGTACTGGTGGTATGACACAACCTTGTCTTACTCCGGATGTTATCTCGAACCATTCTGTGAGTCCCTCTTTCGTTCTTGCTGAACTTGTTCTGTTTCTGTAAGTGGCACGAATGTTATCTAGTAGTTGGCCTCTTACAGTGTAGTTTTCAAGTTCTTTCCACGGCTTGTTTCTGTTCACTCTGTCGAACGCTTTCTCCTGGTCGATAAATACTATATTTAGTTCCCTGTTGAGTTCTATTACCCTTTTGCACATTTGTCGTAGGGCAAATATTGCGTCGGTGCATCCTCTTCCCTTTCTAAATCCTATTTGGGCCTCTCTCAGAAATGGTTCAACTGCCCCGACACCTGAAGACAGAGGAAGTCAATCCACACACAACTGCTGGTCGCCACTTTGCCCTGTTTTTCGCTAGGGTTATCGAATCTTGCTTAAGTGTAAATCCATCTAAACGCGTGTAACCAATACAATCTTGGCATTATTGCAAGCATGAGCCACTGTTTGTTTAAAATCGAACATAACCATACAAATGAGCACCACCCCCCCCCCAGAAAAGGCAAGGCAAAGACAATAAGCGCAGATTTTACAAAGTGGCTCGTTTTTTCATCTTTGATAGGGTCTATCACACCTCATTTGGAAAATAATAAATAGCATTTGAATAGCACAGGCTACCGCTTAACATCACACTTTACGCTTTACAAGCTACATTATTACCACAGCAGACCTGAAAACATTCTGAAACAGTGCAAACTTCCTGGGAGGCATGCAGTGAAGCTGCCCTTTTAAAGACGATAATAATACACCAACATACGGACAAAATCTTTCTCTTTTTATGTCCGGGTACCTATTTACACTTGTGTGAAGTGAAGAAAATTCGTGTAAAATGCCAACAATACGAAGAAAAGTCTCCGCCACCTTCAGAATGAAATCAAGGTGTGGTTAAAGTGCGGTCTATAATATTTAGACTGGACAGTAGTAACACTTCTAATCTAATATACGTTTGTTGGCACAGGGCTCCAGAATACAATATTAGGGTAAAGATATTGACCTCCAGGGTGGGCTAAACAATATTTTATTCAAGTATGGGCAGAGTGCATAAGAGTGACCCCTGACTATCGGGAATTGCGGTCCTTCTGCGAGTCTTATGTCTAATAAGTATAGTGTCATATTGAGTGCATATCACGTCAAAATAAAGTACGGTCGAACTTGCCCAAGACGACTACCCATTTTTAGGGAGAAAAGTGATCACCTTAGAGAGGTGATTTTCTTGGACAGTATCACTAGAATTGAGAAAAAAATTAATCGCCAAGATGTTGGGGGGTAGGGGTGGGGTCGGGGTGGGCTACGGAAGGAAGTCGTTTGTACTGGTGATTGTGTAGAACGGGTCGTCTTTAGAAAAGGTTAGACTCTATTCTTTAAGGCTAACTGGGCGTTGTTGATGTAAAACATAGTTCTTGTCTTTGAGTACGTTGGTCTAAAGTTATTACTTCAGAAATAATGGAGTTACGTATGTGTAAAAAATACAGTCTTGTGTAGGGTCATGATACCCCTTGGCATACCCATGTTCTTCGAACACGGGGTTAGGGTGCATTATCGCGTTATTTACACTACTGCAGCAAACTGAAAACAAGGAAAGTGGAATCTATTCAATGTACATTTTGTTTTTGTACTTTCACGACTCTCATTCTTAGGTAGTAATACTTTAAAGAGTGAGGTTTTTTAAACATCTTATTTTTTGCATTCTTTAGACATTCTTGACATCGTAAAAACGAGAAAATCAAAATGCTTCTGCTATTGAGTTTCAACTTTTCACAAGTTTGTAGGTTGTTTGCTTTGACTGTCAACCCTACCCCCTCCCCAAAAAACACCAACAATACAAAATAACAGCAGCAACAACAACAATAACAACAAGAACAAACAAACCCCCCCCTTCAACCAACCCCCTCAAAACAACATCAACAACAAAAACAACAACAACAACAACAACATCAACAACAACAAAAAACAACAACAAACAAACACCAAAGACAATAGTTGAGGTTGAAGGGGCACAAGTCAGGGTAGTTCGATGACCCTTCATCTGTAAGCTTTTGGCCCAAATTATCTTTCTTGTAACCATGCAACGGCCACTCGCTATGTGTGGGGTGTTACCCCAGCCTGCCGTAACCAGGCCTCCTCAACAGCATATTTTTTTATAAGCCATTCTCCTTCCCAAACTTCTCCCAAACTTTCTCACTATGGCGAGGTATCCATCTGATATGACGGGCTTGGTTTTACCGTTCTCGCACTGAAACCAGCCTGTGGTGCAAACAAAGAGGTTATAGATAGAAATAGAGGTCTTAGCTGAGAGACGTCTCAGGAGTCAAACTTGAAGGGCGCGCCGCCATTCCGGAGAGGAATAAAAGGCACACCAACACTTTTAAATCATGGATTAACAATCCTCTGCGAAGTCTTTTGATGTTGATTTCTCCTTCATGTGATTTGCCAATCGCTAAAATGTATTCATAGGGATTTTTGTGATTGTTTATATTTAAATGAGCCAGATAATCTAAACAATAGTGCAAATAGGGCCTTTAACATGTGAGACCAAATGGGTGAGTAAATTCAGAAAAAAAATGAGTGAGATGGACTTGACGATCACTTGTTAAAACAAAAAAACATAATTCTATTGAAATCTTTTGCTGCACGTCGCTCAAACAGTGTGTCTAGATTTAGCACCGCTGACCACACCAAGGCGCTCATATCGGCCTTCTTGAATCAGGACTGAGAAGCTGCTAGAGCCTTCAATAGCAACCCTAGCACGCCTTCAAGGCTGGCTGAACGAAAAAACCCGTTGTTGCTGAGAAGAGAGAATATGAAGTAGCAAACCAGGCATAACTACCCACCAATACGATTGGCGTAATATTCTGCCTCATATGAGAAACCGATGCCAAACAGCAAGTGCAACAGCAGCAGCAGGGGTTCATGGAAGATGGGGTGTTGTGTTGCCAAACGCCATTGCCAATCAACCCTAATTTTAGAAAATGTAGAGAACGTTTAAGATAACTTACTTGCTTACTACCCATTATGCCATCTGACGTTTAGGGTAGCAACAAAGGATCTCCAGCTCTGTCTGTTTTGGGCCATCTTGTTCTGCGTTCCCCACTAACGATTCCAGGACTTCATTTCAGACTCTACTGTGCGTCTCCAGGTCACTTTGGGTCTGCCCCTTTTGCGACGTCCTTCGGGTGTCCAGTGGAGGGCAGTCTTCATAATAGAGTCTGGTTCTCTTCTCAGAACATGTCCCATCCATCTCCATCTTCTCCTTTTTATTATGGTGGTCATGTCCTCTTGTCTACATTTGCGTAACAGATCTTCGTTGGAAATCTTGTCGGGGCAGAAGATTCTGAGGATTTGGCGTAAGCTGGTTTTATGGAAGATAGCTTGGCACGGTTAGGATCAGTCATCCTTCAGCATTCAGCTCCATATAGGAGTGTGGATAGTACACAGATGTTATACAGCTTTAACTTGGATTGTATACTAAACTGTCCTGACTTCCAGATGTTGATCATGCTTCTGTGTACCGATCTTGCCTTGCCGAGTCTGTTCATGATGTATTCCTTTGTGCCGCCGTCAGTTTTGATTATGCTGCCTAGGTAGGTAAATGTATCTGTTATACGGAGGTCTGTGTTGTTCACCCTAATTTAAGATAAATCGGCTATTTATCTAAGTGTTGTATTTTAAAATGTTGTCAGTATTTGCGCCTGATATTAAAATAAAACTGAACTAAGCTTCAAACTCTATGAAGACCCAGGTAATGTGAGAGACGCGCAGTATGACAGCGCTAATTCTAATCTAAAAATGCCGACAAAGCCAGCTGACTGGGCCCGAACAGCCATACTAAGTTTACGTGGGTGACGTCACAGCTTCGACCTCTAGTACTATTATAACCTCTTTGGGTGCAAAGACGGCCTAGTTATTACCCTTAAAATGGCTCTCATTTTTTTTTATAGATTCCCTGTATTATTTTTTTGACACTCGAGACGAAAAATCGCGTTCTGTATGGGAAAACAAAAATATACGTACCATCGATGAGCCAGGAGCAAAACATGGTTGATTGAAAATCGTCGACTACTTATGCTGGATGATGATGGTGATGATGATGAGGATGATGATAAGGATGATGATAAGGATGATGTACTATTCTTTTCTACCGAGTCCATCCCCATGCTTACCCTTTAAAGACAGCAGCACAAGGAACACTGTTATTGTCACCAGTGTCGATGTAGACATCCGGCTCTGTTTCTGCCTCATTTCCATCTGCATTAAAAAAAAACGTAATATTATAATGAGTATATTGTGTGTGTATAGGAGTCAATTCATTCGTTCCCCCCTCCCACACTCCTCCCTCGGTCACACACACACACACACACACACACACACACATTCTCTCTCTCTCTCTCTCTCTCTCTCTCTCTCTCTCTCTCTCTCTCTCTCTCTCCCTCAATCTTTCTTGCTCTCCATCGGTGAGAGTGAGTGCGTGAAAGTACGCATGAGTTTGTTTGTGTGTGTGCGCGCGTGTGGGTGATTCTTTCTTGCTCTCCTCTGTCAGAGTGGCTGTGTATATAGTGTGTCACGAATATACTGTGAGAGGTGGACGAGCACGAAACATATATAGATATATATATATAAATATATATATATATATATATATATATAATCTATTTGTGGTGGCCGAATTTTGCTATTCAAAAGGCTTTTTAATGGCTTCATCAATCGACGTGCGGTTTTCGCCAAAACATTCTTTAAAATATTCTCCAGATCATGGCGCCCTTCGTTTTTTCAGTTTTGAGACAGTTTTGCAGCAAAAAGCTAAATTTCTTTATTTCGCCGATCGCTTTTGTAAGCCAACGCTTTCTGTCTTTGTAATTTTAGAAAATCCGCCACGTTTGTTTATTTCAAGTCGTACTTCCGGTCGATACTATCGCACATTGTTGTGCAATACTGAGGACTATTTTAAGTGTGCTACACGTATAGATCTAGCCTCGTGGTTTCTTTTTTTACTTGGTGCTAAATTCGACTGTGATCCTTTCGTTTGATGCCCATCATCGCTTTTTCTGGACTTCTTTGTCAAATTCTTTTTCTTTCTACTGGGAACAATCGAAACGCTTCTGTCTCAATCCGTTCATCGAATGGGGGCCCAGCTAGTCTATTTGTGGTGGCCGAATTTTGCTATTCAAAAGGCTTTTTAATGGCTTCATAGACCGATATGCGGTTTTCGCCAAAAAATCCTATAAAATATCGTCGGTCGCCTGATAAAACCGTGAATTCCACAAATTTTCGAAAATCGTTTTTTGCATATTTTGATAGTGCTCGGTGAGATACATGTCCCTGTAAAACAATTTTTCCATTATCTCAACTCAAACGTGTTATCCGACGTAATAAGAAAATCGTGAATAAACACCGTGCCCCAAAAGTCGCCTGATGAAACCGTGAATCCCACACCTGTGTGGAATTCACGATCTCATCAGTCGGTTTATGACTCGCGGGGCTGACCGTTGGCGCCGTGAACGCCTCTTTAGACCATTGAAATATGGGCGACTGCGTTGAGCAAACATAATGGTCAGTCAGTATTCACGGTTTCCAGGCCAAAGATTATAATTTATGATGTCGACTGCATGCGTTTTGCGAGAAAACCTCTCTGTCACATAATTAAACTGTGTATTTCCTAGATGCAGGGCTGGTATTGTTTCACTACGACTGTCAAATTCGAATGTGTAATGTGTGTGCCCTTCTAATAGTGGTTATACAATTTTGATCTTGCTCGTTTGCCTCCGAAAAAATTTAAAAATTGACGTAGTCAAGTATAAATTACAAGTATATTTCCGTGTTGTATCACAACCCAAACTTGTTTGACATTGAAAGCTCCTTAATCTGACATCAGAGTTCCCTAACGAGAAAAGGAATTTTGAGAAGCCGAGCAATGTGAACCATTTTGGGCACCAAAGAAAGCTACAGAAAATACAGCACGGAAATAGTAGAAGAACTAGACTTCAACGAAGAAAAAGTATCATTCAAAGTACACGATGCGTTGGAACAGATCAATGGTGCTTTTTTAACCTCAGAGAGAGTAAGAGAGGAAGAGAGAGAGAGAGAGAAAAAAAGACAGAGAAAGAGAGAGAGAGAGAGAGAGAGAGAGAGAGAGAGAGAGAGAGAGAGAGAGAGAGAGAGAGAGAGAGAGAGAGGTCAGCAATAAGCAATACAAATCAAGAGATAGGACGATTTAAAAAAACAACTAATGTACTGAAACCCAGATGTGATTGCTCAACAAAATCAATGGACTACTCACTATTAAAAGACAACACTATCTGAACAACTATCTTTTTCTTTGTTTTGACTTTGACATGGGGAGACAGAAAGTCCTATGTAAACGGTACTCTCAATACAAAAAGTACAATTTAAGCAAAGGCGATACACCACTCAGAAAGATGCACACTTGGGTTTATTATCTGAAACAGAATGATCAGAAGATCAAAGTTTGCAGGATGTTGATATCTATGACCGGGCTCACCCATTGTAAATTGCTCTAGAGGAGCCCATGCCAGTTTCATCATCGCCTGGATCACCCCGAACGGACAAACACTTTCCACTATTCCCTACCCTGGGCTAACTTCTTCAGATTTTTCAAATGTCTTTCCACTTTTCTGTTCATCATTCTCTTCGACTTTTCTACAGGTTCCACATGGTCTTCCTTTGATCGTTTAAGGTGTTGACTCCAAATTAAAACTTTTTTGTTAAGTAGCTGCCTGATTTCCAACTGGTATGCTCAGTCCAATCCACTGCTTTCTTCTGTCTGAAAATGTTGTGGTCATTACTTTCTCATTGGTGACTCTCTGTGACTTGGTCTGTCCATCTGATCCTGAGGAACTTCCTCAGACACTTGTTGATGACAACCTGGATCCTCCAGAACTTTGTAAAGCGTGCTTTAGAAGAGCGCAGCCCAGCTGCACCACCAAACAATCCACAAGGGGCGTGCAAGCCAAGGAGTTTCTGTTCACATCTTGGACATGCTTCTGAAAGTTCCCACTCACTATTGCCAGCAAAGCTCTTGAAAATTGTATCGTGATCCCTGATTCTGTAATCTGTTGGAGCTTGAAACCGCCTGCACTGGTCAAGGACAATCTGCCTTGTATGTCAGGCTACTCAAATATGTGCTAGATGAAAAGAACATGTTGATCTATGAGTCAAAAAAGATCAATGTGAATTGTGCGTGAGTTTTGAGTCTTGACAGCGTCAGCCAGACTAAGTGGGAATCTCACATGTTAGAAAAGAACAGGACAACGAAAGGGCACGCAATGGATAAAACCTTTTGCTCTTAGGCAGGAAGACCTTGTGATGATTTGCCTGAATTTTCAGGGTGTACTTTTGACATTGCCTATTAATTCATCCAGCTCTTGTTACAGGAACATGCACATAATCTTCAATGCGACCTCGTATGGTGCCATCTATTACTTATGACAAAAGGCACAAGGTGGTTTGATTGCAAATGAATTCACAAGTTGTTTGATGGACTTTTTTTAAACGTGCACAAATGCGTAGAGGGTTATAACAATATACTATTATACATCTACGGGTTTGTGCGTGTGTGTGTGTGTGGGGGGGTGTTTGTGTGTGTGTGTGTGTGTGTGTGCGTGTGTGTGTATCAGCACAAAATTGCATCTATTTCTAATGCCGTAGGTGCCCTCTCCACTAAAGCAAACACCGAAATTAAATACAAAATCTTATTAGAGGCCACACTCATATGCAAGTAGAAAGTATGCACGGCGTCATTGAGCGGCGGCTTAAAAAAAAAAGACATTTTCAAAACTGCAATTTTCATAAATATATCAACGAAGAGTGAAATTTGTGGACCACATTTTCCTCCATGATTTTGCCAAAATTGCAGTTCACATAACTGTCAGGTCGGGTAGACAAAAAGAAGACCAAACTGTTAATGCAGTATGAAGTCTCTGATTTACATAAGGAGAAATTCTTGGCAGACTGAACCCTAACGAAGAGACAAGAAAAACTTAACAAACAGTTCCGCACCATTGTATCGTTCTACTTATAAACGGCAAAAAGTAATGTTCAGGATTAAGATAATGAAAGATGATCATTCAGTCATTCGGGGAGTATAGAATTTTGACTTAAATCAAGTTCTCAACCCATCCACCACCCCCTCCCCAAAGGAAATACACTTACATACAATTGGAGAAAGAAGGAGAGAAAGAGAGAAAGCACGCAAAAGAAGGAGTTTGATTTCATAAATTACATACAATATTTCATTCATGTAAGAGTGAGAGATGTTTATAGTGGTAAAATAATGAATAGCTTTCTGTCTCACTCAGTCTGTAATTTCATTCTCAGTATTAAATTGGTCCTTTAAAATCTTTTTTAAAAAACAGTATTTCGTGCTTTCAAACATTTATTAACACACCAGGACCTCTAATAAGAGAAAACACACTGCCTAATAACCGTGAATACAACACCGCGTTCCCAAAAGCCTACTGATGAAATCGTGAATTCCACACCTGTGTGGAATTCACGACGCATCAGGCGAGATTCGAATATGAAAATCGTGAATCCCACATTTTTTCAAAAAAATGACTATCTACGGTAAAAAATGTACAACAGTATTATTTCTAAATGGTTATTGATTAGATGTATCCATTTAGTGTAAATCTTGGACGCCAAATGACGGAGAAAATCAGTTTTTCCCCTCTCCTATAAAATTTGCTTCGTGTGGAATTCACGATTTCATCAGGCGACCGACGATATTTTCCAGATCATGACGCCCTTGGTTTTTTCAGTTTTGAGACAGTTTTGCTGCAAAAAGCTACATTTCTTTATTTCGTCGATCGCTTTTGTAAGGCCGACGCTAATGTCTCTGTAATTTTAGAAAATCCGGAAGTGATACTTCGCGAGGCGCATTTTGTTTTGAAAGTATAGATCTAGACGTTCTAATTGTTTGCATCTCTCAAGATGTATTGCCCCATTCCAGTAGAATATAAATATAGTAGGCCAACGACTTTTAGTTGATATTAAAGCACCGATCATTCCTTTCATCGAAAGGGGGCCCATCTAGTTTTATATATATATATATATATATATATATATATATATATATATATATATATGTGTGTGTGTGTGTGTGTGTGTGTGTGTGTGTGTGTGTGTGTGTGTGTATGTGTGTGTGTTTGTGTGTTTGTGTGTGTGTGCACGTATAAATGATTGCAAAGATGGTGTAACAGAACCGACGAAAGGAACATGTAGCAAAGAAT